TGATATTATATCCTGCTGAATAGAGCTGCAACAAGTCCGTAAATTGATAAGTCAATTGGCAGAAAATTTATCAGCAACTATTTCATAAAAATGTTTTTTAAAGAAAAAATGACAAAAAAGTAATGTACTGGTTCCTTTCAAAAGTGTACATTGCTAGTTTTCTTAGTCTTCTATGATATTAAACTAAAAAAACAAGCAATTTAAACACGAAACTGTAATGGACATATTTTTGGACAAACAATCAACAAACTTATGGGTAATGAAAATAGCCAAGCTGCAGCTGAACATCGCTTATTTATATAAACTCTAACATACCTCAGCACCATATTGTTTGCAAAATATTATCATTTGTATCAATTTAAATCTTTAAAACGTGTGAAAGTTGCTCATTTTGAGTAAAATCAATAATTTGTTCACCATACTACTTCCATTTCCTTTTGGATTTTGTGAAAGGTGTCTGAAATTGTTTTCTCTCTAAAATGATATGATGCCTCTTGTGATTTTCTAATTGCTAGGGCTAATATTGCTTTTTCCATATCTTTTATATTTATTGTGCAGCTGTATTGTAGGTCCTCGACATGTAGAACATTTGTGAAAAAGAAGTTGTGGAAAGGAAAAGATTGGGGAGAATTTACCTGATGGAAAATATGAAGAATTGATAGACCTCTCCTACTTAACCAAGCTTTTCAGTCAGAAGGGAAGAAGGGAGAAGGAAGGCAAGAGAGAGAGCGACTGAGTGTATGGGAATATTGAGCCACAAAGCATTTATGTCAGATCAAAGCTAATCCTTATCTTCGGGAAAAGGATTTAGTAATACCCTGGGCTGTCTCGCCCCCTCAAGGGCAGGTTTCTTTCTCTGCTTCCTGTGCTTGTATCCCTTACTCCTCGCTTCTCCATGAAACTGCCAGGATTTTTCTGCACTTTTCCTCGACTTCTGCTCTGTAACGGTGTGAAGAAATTAGGTCACCTAGAGAGTGCAGAGTGAGGAGGCAGGCGGAGTGGAGGGTCTGGCCTCTAGATCTGGCTGGGGAAAAAGTGTTTTGCCCGAGGTGGCGGGGCCTGGAAGAAGACGTACATGAGTTTGATGACCACAGATAAGTTGATTTGACTGTAGACTTTAATAGACTAACGAGGATTCAGCTTCTTCATGTGCTGAAACACCTGATCTTCTTTACTGTCTGAGGAAAAGTGGAATGTGGTTCCAACATGTTGGACCATCTGTCCCATAACACTTCTTAGGTCGCATCCTGTAGTCCAAATGCCAACTAGACACACAGCATTTCACCTTTTTATAAGGCATCTTGCTTAGTTTTACAATAAGATTGGGTTACATTTCGTCTTTCAGTTTATCCAGTTCCAATTCCCCCAAATTGAAACTGGATAAACTGAAAGATATGTATTCATTAAGCTATGCACAAAACATCCATCACATAATCTTCCTGGCAAATCATCAAGTCTTTATATTTTAGTTCTTTAAGGTTTTGCCACCCACTGCTATGCTTTCATGGACTGCTATACTAGTGAACATTACATTAATATAAACATGTATTATACAGTACATGTTTGTAACATTAGATCCAAATCTCAACAGAAAAATTAGGGCCAGTGCTGTTAGGGCCAGATCTGTACACCACACTGTGTGGAACTCACTGGGATCATTTAAATGTAAAGCACTGTAATCTGTTAACTGATAGAAGAAACACAGAATTTTGATTGCAAAACTGTATTTAATGTGAATTAGTCATTTCTGGCCGTAACTGGAAGCACTTAATGAGGTCAGCATCCAGCGGATCAGATCGTTGCACACCTGAAAATCACACCTAAATAGAATCAGTAATGGTTTTGGATGGTAGGTTGATAATCTTAGCCATTTGGAAAGAGTTGAGTAGAAGTGCTGCTTTTTTACTCTAAAAGAATTCAGTTGATATGGCTCGGTCATCTGGTCAGGATTCTTCCTGGACGCCTCCCAAGGAGGTATTCTGGTCAGGGCAACCTGACCCCATGGCAGAGCCAGAACGCACTGGAGGGATTAAGTAGGAATAGGTTTATTGTCACAATATAACAAATTATAGAGTGAAATTGTCTTTTGTAACTCCCTTCTGCTACATAGCAGACAATATACATTGATACAGAATCACTTATAAAAAATGGTAAACAGAAATAAATTATCATCAGTGGAGCAGTGCTGAGGATGAATTAGAGTCTAAGAGTCTGATAGCTTGGGTGAAAAAGCTGCTCTGCAGTTTGGTGCGGCAGCAGAAACTTCTATATCTCTTCCCAGAAGGCAGCAGGGTGAACAGGCTGTGGCTGGGTGGGTACTGTCCTTTAGTATCCTTTGGGCTCTGCGCATGCACCTCACCTCACCGATAGTACTGATGCTCGGGAGATGGGTACCAAGCAGTTACCAAGCAGAGTTACCCGCCCTCTGATCCTGGGCCATGAACATCCCATGCCAGTTTATGATTTTTCCAGTCGGGATGTTTCCTATTGCTCCTCTGTGAAAGCTGACAAAAACTTGGCGTGGTAAAAGACATACAGACGTTTCTGAGCTTTCTTCATCAGCGTGGAGATGTGAGATGACCGTGTCAGGTTCTCTGTGATGCTGATTCCCAGGAACCTGAAACTGTTCACCTGCTCCACCTCAGCACCACTGATGTAGACAGGAGTGTGTGTCTTTATCTCCTCCTTCCTAAAATCAACGATCAGCTCCTTAGTTTTGCTGACGTTGAGCAGTAGGTTGTTCTCTGAGCACCACTCATAATGAATTTCCTCCCGATATGAACTCCCATTGCTATGAAATCTGTGATCTGGGAATGCCGTAGGATCCACCTGGAACATCTGGGGGATGGGGCAATGGACAAGGACATCTTGGCTACTTTGTTTAGTCTGCTGCAAGATATTGATGCATCGATCGATGAAATGTGTTCAGCAGGATTCAAGTTTGATAAGCGGAGTCTAATTCGATAAAATGCTATCAAATCCTAAACCTTGTCTTGTCTTGCAGTTATTTACCACTGCCCAAGGTCGAATGTGATCATCCTCTTTCCTCCAAATGAACCAAACTAAAGGACTCCAGACTGAATAAACTGCTCCAAGCATGCTGGTGTGAACACACTCTTATCTGTCATTGCCACGTCGGTGTCCCCACAGGGCGCTATGAGCAGTTTAATTGCCTGAGATCTTGTTTTTGATAAAGGACTGCGATGTACAGCGTGGCAGGGCAATTGGTGGTCACCTTTTTATTTCTATCACCCCTTCCCTCTCCATCTGTCTCACTCTTCACTGCTGTGTACCCACAGCCTGGAGGGACACCGGCTCTGTTGAGATGGCAGCGGAGAGGAAGAGAGAGAAGAATCTAGTCCTCAGCACTTTTCACACTTGACAATTTGGGTGAAAAATAAAAGAAAAACTCGGCAGGGCCCTGTTTGGTATTCATTGTTTCCTTGGTGCTATTTTGACAGGGTTTAATCATCTGTAAAAGTAAAATATCACAGCTTCCGCATGGATTAACACGGTAGACGTGATTATGCAAGAGGAGTAGGAGGAGGAAGAAATTGTTGATGGAGTCTGTGGCCTGAAGGAGACAGTTAAAAGAATTAGCCATACTTTACACAGATCGTGAGACGGAGGGTCTCATGAACTCGCCCCTACTGCAGGCAGCTGGTAGCTGAAATGTACGAAGTATGCCGTTCATAATAATAACATTTTTTGACCACTGCTGCATCTCCCTCTCCTTGTGTCTTTGCTCCCTGCTATGAGATCAGTCGTGGCCATTCGTTCCTCTCATTGAATTTTGGGATTTTGCAAGTGTTAAAGGACCATACCAACATGCAAGTTTTAGCTCTTTGAACAAAAATCATGTTTGCTGTATATTTTCAAATGCAGAGGGGACTGCAAAGTGTGCAACAGTGTTTTGAACATGCATTAATAAAACACTGTAGAAGGCATCTCATGTTAACCACTGATACATGCAGTCCTTTCAGATATAGTTTGGACTGTATTTTCGTGTAGAGACTTTGCGATGTGTTTGTGTTTTGGCTGTCCTTGTGAGTTTGACTTTTACACAGTTTTTAGTGGGTTGATTTCTAGGAAAACTATGAATATTAGATAAAAGATAGGAAGTAAAGCTTTGGGCTACAGGTTAAAGTATGTGTACAGTAGTAGCTGGGTGATGATTGCATGGTTAGAGAGATATAATATAACATACATAAGTTAGTTTTGGTGATGTTTTTAAATGGAAACCGATATTCACCTATATTTGGGGCCAGAATTCAGTTGCAGTGAAGATGAAAACGTTTGTCTAAAAAAAACAAACATGCATAACATGTATATCACAAGACAAATTAATGGGCATATGACGACGAGAGGTGCATATGACATGATAAGCGCTTGTATGAGAGGAGCACATCGACCAACCCTGAATCTGCCTGCCTTGGTTAGACTGTCCACATAAATGTTCAGTTCAGAACTTTTTTATTATAGTGCTGGCACAATACAAAATACAACAACATAAATGTGATGATTAAAAAAGAAACGCTACAACAATAACAACAGGGATGAGGGAAAGTGCTCAACGGTGTAGAAAGCCATGTTCAGAGTGTATTAGAGTAAGGAGTCTTTCTTGCACATAAAAAAACCTGTTGCACCTAATTTTCAAAAACCTTTATTCCCTACCAGTGGCAGATGTGGCCTTCATTCTGGATGCAATGGTGCAGATTTGCTGAGATGGATTTAGCTTTCTGTGTTATTTGCTGGCGAAATAAAGTCTGACCAAGAGGGCTGTTGCCCATTGATATGTGTTTTGCTGAATGTATGGATCTGTAAAACAAAACACCATCAACCTCCTGTCAAAGTAAAAAATATGAATTTCCACAGAATATATTAACTCAGTGTTTGCATCAAATCTCAGTATCTTGTCAGTACCAAGGTAATTACAGCTCTCCACAGTTTTTACTGTTGCTGCCCTCATTGTCTCAACTATGTTTTCTCTTCTGTTGCAGAATGACCATGTTGCCACTAAAGAGCTAATCACTGTGAAGTCGTGGACGGTAGTGGAACATCCAGCATCTGAGCCAGTTGTGCTTTCTTAGCTTCAAGTGGAGTTGTGCAAACTTTCTACTAGACCTGTGTAACTTACCTTCTCTACTGGCTGCCTGCCACTGAATATAAAAAGGGACCCCGCCTACCTATCTTTAAAAAAAATGGAGACTCTTTCTCAAGATTCAATTCTGGAGTGTCAGATCTGCTTTAACTACTATAGCCCTCGCCGGCGGCCCAAACTCCTGGATTGCAGACACACGTGCTGCTCGGTGTGTTTGACCCAGATGCGCAGCAGCCAGAAGGAGATTCGTTGTCCCTGGTGCCGTGGCGTCACTAAACTCCCTCCGGGCCTGTCAGTCTCCCAGCTCCCAGATGACCCGGACATCATCACTGTCATCGCCATCCCTCACGCCTCTGAGCACACGCCCGTCTTCATCCGCCTGCCGAGCAACGGCTGCTACATGCTGCCACTGCCCATCGCCAAGGAGAGGGCACTTGGCCTGCCAGGGGAGCTGGGATGTCGCTTCCTGCCTGGCAGCCAGCAGAAGGGGTGACCGTGGTGACCGTGCCCGAGCAGCAGCCTCTGGGCCTGGGTATGGGTCTGGAGGGTGTCGGGATGGGGCTGGAAGGAGGCGAGGGCGAGAGGAGAGTTACTGGCCCGGTGGTAGGAGGAGGGAAGGGCTCCACGTGGTCAGGCGTGTGCACGGTGATCCTGGTGGCGTGTGTGCTGCTCTTCCTCCTGGGCATCGTGCTGCACAACATGTCCTGCATCTCCAAGCGCTTCACTGTCATCTCCTGCGGCTGAGGGTGGAGGGAGGCTGCTCGGACTGCCGCGGCCCCCCCCCCCTAGATTCCCCCACTAGCCCTGCCTCTCCTCAGGACGCGACTGCTGAGGAGAGGGGACTAAACTCGCATCATGGGCATCCAAGGAAGCTACAGAGCAACATAGAGAGAAACCGATGATGCAGAAGAAGAGGGCAGACAAGCAGCCTGCCAATTATTTTTTGGGATACTGAAATTAAAATGGAAATACAGACAACTTCACTTTCCTCTTGTCAACAGCACTCTGTCAGCCCTGAACCCCGTCGCCCTTTTCCTGTCTTTCCATTTTCTCTGAAAGAACATTTTTGGATTTGCTCCAGAAATGTTTTTGGCCAGCTGATTTGTTTTTGGCTGGGGGCCGATATGACACTCACACTCTCAGCCGTTGGATTGCCTGTTTAGTCTGTGGTTTGTAGAAGTACATCAGTTATCATAGTGTTGTTTAGGTGAGTGTTGGTTCCAAGTGCGTTGTCTTCAGCTGGTGCTGCAGTAGATGAGTTCGGACTTGGCTGCTCTCCGTTCTCTGATGCTGCAGGAATTAACTGTGCAGGATCCACGTCCGGCCCCGTTTGAATCATCTGGGAAACTCAAAATCAACACAGCTTTCATTTTCTTTTCTTTTTTCTTTCACACAACCTGTTCCTGTTCAGAACAAACTGTTGCTGTGATGGCTCCGTGTGGTTAGAAATGGGATTGTTCATTCATGCCAGCATATTACAGGCCTAAATTTAAAAATGCAGGTAGTTGCTTTATTAAGGCTTAAATGTCTGAATTACTGCTGAAATGACAGTCAGAGATTGATCGGAAAATGACAAACACTGGATGTTTTCAGCCTGTCAAATGTGATTTTTTTTTTTTTCCTCTTCCTCTGTCTTTGTAAATTCAGTATCATTGGGGTTTGGACTGTTGGTTGAACAACACAACTCATGTGAAGACATCACTGGGATTTTCACAACTTTCGTTTCTAAACAATGAGTCTCTCTATTTATCCAAAATAGTGAAAATTATCACTAGTTGCTGTCCTATTTAGATTTTGGTGGGAAACTTTGTGCTACCTTCTAGTAGGATTCTAGCTGCCAAAAATGTACAGGCTATCTGGTAAACAAAGAAGTTGCTCAAAATACTGTGTTTAGAACTGATGACAGAATAAAAGTTCAACAGGATTAGTTTGACATTTTGGGAAATACTCTTATTTGCATTCTGTCCAAGAGTTAGATCGATACCACTGTCTGTGCGTTACATACGGCTCTAGAGCCAGGAGACGATTAGCCTAGCTTAGCATAAACTAGAAGCAGGGGGAAACGGTTCTTTCATGTTAAAAAATTGACACTTTATCACCGTCTCTAAAGCCCACTTAACATCTTGTTTAACCTGCACACAAACAGAACTGCAATGTTGTGCTGCCAGCACACCAAAACCCACAACTTTACATTTAAACATTTTTGTATGGATTAAACAAACATGTTACAGTAATTTGAGGCTTTACAAAGGAGCTACATGCTACATGCTAAGTAAGTTAATTACCACATGCACCCCCATAAAAGTTTTTACATTTCTCAAAAAAATGAGAACTGTAAAAAATGGATTAAGGCTTTTATGAACAAGTTGTTGGTGGACATATTTTTAACTCTGAAGACGCTAGCTGTTTCCCATCTTTATGCTTAAATCTAAGCTAATTACCTGCTAGCTCTAGCTCTGTATATGAGACTGGTATCAATCTCCTGGCAAGAAAGCCAATACGCATAATGTCAAACTATGTTTTTAAATAGAACAGAATGGAATTGGACATTCAGGGCAACATTCTTGTTCCCAGTTTCTCTTTTTTTTCTCTTTTGCAGTGCATCCATTTTTTATGTTTTCCCACGGATGCTTTCATCGATTACTTAACTGTCCAACTACTTTTCACCCTGACCTGCAGACCACCATTGTCCTCTAAAGACAGACTCTTCAGCTTTGACCAGGCCCTCACCGGCAGCCCACAAACTATCGACTCCCTTCATCTTAATACTTTCCTTAATATAGAAAACTGGTGGTTATGGGCTCAAAAGTTTGATGGTATGTATTTGTGTGTGTGTGAGTAATGGGTCAGGGCACTGCAGGGGTCCAGTTAATGACGACTGTATCGATTTATCTGCTTTTGAATATCTCTCGCATCTGCAGAGATGGATGTTTCTCTCTCTTCACTTTTATATGTTGAGGCAAGCAGTATTTCTGTTTACTGTATCGTTAAAGCAATGGAGTGTACAGTACACACACACAGGGTGAACTCTTTTGTATAGCAGCCTCATCATGTACAGAATGATTGTAATTTCCTTGTCTTTTTCTGGAACTGTTTTTTTTGTTGACATGTTTTACTTGGTTAGTATTATAAGAGTCGGAATTGAGATTATGGAGCTCTGTGTGGGTTTAGCTCTAAAATAAACAAACATGAAAAGTTAAGTCAGTACACTTCAGGGCACTCTGAGTTGACATGACACACCAGCGACACAACATAAGAAAGGAAGTTAAAACAGTGTTTGGTACAGTATATAAAGAATCATATACTGTAGGGCTGAACGGTTAATCGTTTTCAAATCAACATTGTGATTTGAAAGAACACGATTAGTTAATCGTGAAGACGGGGATTAAAATGTAGGTTAACAATGGCGTGCATCTGACCCGTTTTAAACAGTCACGCAGTTACAAATTCATTCCCTTGTCATCCTTGTGTGACAGATCTGCGCCATGCCCCTCCTGTTACGGTCCTACTCACCGATCAGAGCGGGCACAGGGCCTGTACTTCTTACAACAACAAACTAAACTAGAGGAAAACGTGGGAAAGTGGTGCCAGCGTCACAGGCAGCGGCTGTTGTCCTTGATTTTTTTTGTGCTTGTACTGTGGTTAAGTCTACCTAGTTAAATTGTTAAATGAAGTAGTATTTTTTTTATTTTTTTTACTGTTTTAACGGTTTATTGTTGATGTACGATTGGGAGTCTGCAAAGGGTGTTTTATTTTGAAATTGAATTCTCTATGCCGTTCTGTATCTGACTTCCTGGTTCATCTGCTCAGTGCTGCTTGACGTGGCTTCCGTCAAAAATAGACTAGCAGTGAATATTGAACTTCAGCAAAACTTCAATAAAAAAAATCGCAGATGGAGTTTTAATTGCAATATCTAGCAGATCCCCCCCCCTCCAATCGTTCAGTCCTAATATACTGTACCAAAATGTGGCTACTCTCTAATTAATTCAACTGATTTGATTTTCTTCAAACAGGGCCTTTTTTCAAAATGTATTTTGATTCGGCATGCCATATCAGCTTGATTTCACTAAAGCAAGGTCTGAGATTAAACATAAGAGACTTTAAATCAGACTTAAATTGATTAAATCAAACCTACTTAAGCCATTTTGCGGGTCAAGGCTTCCTGCACTGGACTATTCAGCTGTGAAAGTGTTTAAGCTACAATTGGGAAACTGTTTGTTTTGCACAAACACAGATATCGAGTGAAGTTCAGCTGAACTGGTTAATGTGGGACACCATGCCGATTGCGGGCCCTGATGTTGCTATGAGCTCTTTTGACGTGCAGATTAAATATTTTTAGCTCAGAGCACTTGGCGCTCCGTGGGCTCTAAAAAACTTCTCAGCTCTAGAGGTTGACGTGGTTTTCTGGTGCCGCCCAAGATAACTCTGAGATCAACGGAAATCCCAATTAAAATAAAAAAAAAGACTGCATGAATAATGGTTTGGGGAAATCTTGATGAAGGCTATATGAAATGTTAATACATTACTATGACTTTCTAATTGGGCATTCTTTATACTGGTTTATAGGTCGTGAATAATGGCTTGATAATTACTTTTATAAATCAGTAATGAACCATTTATAGGAACAACTTTTATGTTTTCTTATCAAACACTTGGACAATGGCTGCTTCAACCTGGCAACCCAAAATAATGTCATAAAATGTGTTATTACTGATCTATAAAGCATTAATAACGTATTAAGCATGTTTAAGGCTATTTCCTAAAAGAAACTATTTGTAATGTATGCCTTATTAGAAAGTGGTATATTTGATCTTAGTATAATGATCTCGCTGGAATTCACAGTCACAATTTTTCAGCGTTTATACTGGGCAAAGTGAATCAAGAAAAAAAGAAAAAGACGGAAGAATAACCAAGCTTCTTGCTACAAAGTCCTAACCGTTCATCACAAGATATTTTACACTCACAAGTACATCGCACACAGTGTTAAAGGCACATAGTGGCCCCTCTGTGATCCACTGGAAGGCTGAGGGGGTAGAGTAGAGAATAGACAAAGAGATGGCGCATCTTTATCCGCTGAGGTTTTACCGCTGAGATATCTGCTGCCACCACCACAATACAAAGGAGGTATCTGGGATAAAATATTTAATGCTCAAAAATTACATTTACAATTTACCATCTATTATCAACTAAAAACTATTCATTGTGGCTTCTATGGATTTCATTCAGTTCAGAAAGACTAGACTAGAAAGAGTTGTTGCTTTTGAATTGTGCTAAAACTGAATTTATCTTAATTATACCGGGGTGGAGGCATCAATCCCAGTGATATATAGATCTCAAAACGGATAAATTAAACCAGCACCTTCTGCATAGCTAAAACACCAATAAGTGTAGCAGTAAGATAGGCTTTTTAATTATTTTGGTGAGCCAAGCCTTTAATGCTCTCATCTGTGCAGCCATTTTGGGGGTCTCTGCTCATATCTGTATAATCCTTTACTGTAATTCTATTACTTTGGCATAAAGTATCACTTCTGTTATGAAACTAACAAGCTAGTAATTGCTTAACAGTTCACCTTCTGTTTTAACTACATTTTGCAATAAAATTAACATTTGTTTCATTAAAAAAAAAAAATCTTGCTAAATCTGAAATTGGTACCGAATTGGTGCAGACACCACAACAATCTTCACTATTTCTCATGTTCTTATGTGGTTCTTCAGCTGTCTTTTGCTCACAGCCATTTTCCCAGTTGACCTCTGTGACAGCACCGGATTTGGTCGCCAGGAGATTTCAGAAACGGAGCCTCAATATTGGCTGTGGATCTTACAATGAGCAAGTTCACAAGATATGTCACACAAATCAGCTTCCACAGCAGTCACCCTCCAAGTCACTAGATCACTGTCATGGCAAAGAATGGACGCAAACACTGCAACAACAAAAGAAAAATCTGTTGTACCCTTCTTCAACATAAAACAGGAAAAAAAGTGCAGCGCCTTTTGTTTCAGAGAATTTGAAGAAATTAAATAGGAATGTAGACGTTAAACTGTAGCTGAAATAACTGGTAAAATTGGAGAATACTTGCTGGAAACAGAAAGTCAAACCAGTGTTAACAGCACTAACATGATCTTGGTGATTATTCACACACCAGGTTCACAACCATGATAAATGAACCTGTCTTAAGTCCTTTCCCTCTGCCAATCCATCATGAATGAGGCACCACACATGATGTAAGAGGTTGGGGACGGTGGAGAAACAAATGCACCTCGTTTCTTCACCCTTATAGTGTCTGTACAGTGCTGATACATGAGATTATTGATCTAATTATTTAGAAGCAAGCACTGTTTCCATGCTTTTCACATTTTTCTCTGTTAACTGAAACGTTTTTCAATAAAAGGCTACTAAGTACACAACAGAATATTATTTTTCTTGAATATCCTTCCTGTCCCTTTTTGTTTTTGTCAAATCAAAAACTGCCCTGTACAGCATTTTTACACTGAAAAGAGTGACGACTAGAGAAGCGTGGAAAGGGGGCTTGTCGTTTCTGTGCCTGTGTGTTTGTAAAATGACGTGAAGTTCCTGTTGTAGTTTCCTGTTTGTGTCAGGTTCGACGACGCAAGCAGCAGCTGTTTTTGGTGAACTATTAAAGCAAACGCTCTGAATCTGAACAACAAGGACTCCAGCAGTCTTCATTTTGAAATGAAATATGTTTCATTTGGCAGATTGTGGACCTTTTTCAACTTTAACTTGAACATAAACACATTTGTAGAGAAATACTACATTAAATTCCAAGAAAAACACAAATAACCTGCAATGTAGGAAAAAAAAAAGCTCATTACTTGTAGCTATTTATTGAAGTGCCATATTTCATAGTTGAGTGAACTCTCTTTGTTTACCCTCAGGAACCTCTTTTCTCCTCAAATATTTATTGATATAGTGTGACGGAGGTAATTAGCGCTCTCCAGGGACCAATTGCAGCTGGCTTTTCTGGAGCAAAACACCTCTATTCCTCACAGGCAGCACAGCGGCAGCCGCTAATGATGACCGCAGCCATCTCTATTCACTCCTAATAAAAGAGTTCTTTACTTTAATGGCCACAGAATAGTGTTTTTTTTATTTATTTTTTTTAAAAGTGCATCAATTATTCTTGGAAAAGAGTGGACTTTATTATTTCCCAGCATTTGTCAAATGTTTGTAGCCCTTCTGCTAATTGCTTGATTTCATGCTCTTATGCATAGTAGCTTAGTGTTGATTAAAGCTCTGTTTATTATTCAAGGACACGCATGAATATTGAAAGACCTTTTACCTGTTATAGGGCAGTAGTCTTTTGTCATCAGGACTCTGGAGAGTACTAAGCAGCACCACAATCTCAACACAAGGGCAAATATAGAAACTGTTTTTCTGACTGTATCACAACATCTTCCTCCGCAAATGACGTTGTCATGGGAAAGAATTCAAATTCAAATGTACATTCAAAAAGGTTTAATGTCAACGATCACATCATTATGTTTTGAAGCAGCATTATAAATGGTGTGTGTAAATACAATAAGAGGGAGAGCAAGCTGTGAGTGTTGGACATGTCAGTCTTTGTGTTTTGCTGGAGGTGATGTGGGAGTAATTTATAACATGGCTGAATGGGAGAGGTGGGAATAGAGGGGACGGGAGGGGGTTGAGGTGTAAGAAGGTAGTTTGTCAGTTCGTCATCAGCCTGTTGTGTTTCAATGGGCGTGCAGAGACTTGTCAGCAGCTCACAGGGCTGATGAGGGAAGAACAAGTCGCAATAATGAGGAGCTGTTATGTCTCCAACAAGCTTTTAAGGTTCAAGAGTGAAGAGACAGTCTGGAACAAAATGAACAATGTGTAATCCCAGGTGAGATCCTCAGATGAAGCCAGAGGGTTTCAAAGTTACTCTCTCTGGAGGGTCACACAAATGCCTTCAAATGTAAAAGTGGCATAGAAAGTTTTGTTTTGAAACTGAAAACTGCTCTCCAGTGGTTCAACTCTGAAGGAAGGTAGTGAAAAAAATACCATACCAAACCATGGCCTCATAAAATCATCATCAAAATTTTTAAAAAGCCATCAATACTTTGCCAGATCAGAAACGGTAGAAAAATGATTTATATGTTCACTTCAGTAAAAGTAGCAATACCACAGTAAAAATAAAAAAGTCCTGCATTTAAAATATATAGTTGATAAAGTATTATCAACTAGATAC